GAGAGAGAGAGAGAGAGAGAGAGAGAGAGAGAGAGAGAGAGAGAGAGTGAGAGAGAGAAATACGACACACTCAAAACGATTCCAACAACAAAATAAGAGATAAATAGCGGAAAGAGAGAGAGAAAGGAGCGATAACAGATCGCAAAACCAGTTTTCATACATGTATATGAAAAAGAGTGATCGCGTGGGCGTAGTCAAAACCGGCAAATATATACTACTCATTCACTCAAAAAGTCGTCGACATTTTTCTTCTATTCATGATTTTGTTTTCATTTTTTTTCGTCTTCTTCTTCTTAATTTGTTCATTCTAGTTAAAGATAAGAATTGATTTTCTGATATGAATCGCTGTTGTTTGCTTAATTGAGGCAAAAGACTCCCAAATAAATTTGATTTAAAGTATAATTAATTTTGGAATTATTATTATCATAAATGAATGCATTAGATGATATTTCGAATTTTTGTTCAACATTTTTCGATTCAGTTGGGGATCGTTCCCGCTTTTGTTTTTCTGAATTTAATTTCAGCACGTTTATTTGTTTGATGTACTGCTGGTATTTTGTGGTGTGTTTTTTCCCTTCATATTTTCGTGTAAGCCGTCAATTTATTCAGTTGGCCGACAGGAGAGAAAAATCCATCTATATGGAATATGAGAACAAAATATTCTTAAAATAATATATCTAAATATCGTATTCGTTTAGCTTTTTCTTACTTATTTCGGCAGATTTTTTGTTGTCTTCTCTTTTCTTCGTCGCTTTGTTTTTCATCATCTTTCGGATGTTGTATGATAATCTCGATTCCAATACGAATATCTAAACGCAAATTATAAGAACAGTGAATAATTGAAACACGTCTGTTTTATTTAAGTGCTCATTAGTGAATGAATAGTTTATTTCATTTCAACATCCTCTCTTGATTTAAGTTTTGATTCAAAAATTTTGATCACAAATAACAAAAATGATAACTACAATTGATTTCATTACAATTTCAAAATAAATTCAAGTTATTAGATACAGTGTGACATTCTATATTTATCGTAGCGGTGCAGTGGAGGGCGCGTAATGGAACTACGTGCCCATCACATTTACAGAACTTTTGGCAACACTGTTCGTAGTGTTTTGACATTTCATGAAATGTGACATTAATGTTCGTTCATTTGAACCGTGTTTGAGTTTTTGAAATAAAATGATGAAATTCTAATTTATTATTGTGAGTTTGATATATATTTTATTATTATGATAAAATAACAGTGAAAAAAATGTGTGAAAACATATGTAAGTATTGAAAATTTCAAAAAAATTAGTTTAAATTTCTTGAATTGAATTGGTAAAATTTCTTATTATTTACAAGGTGCGTTGTTCTTTAAGGAGTCAGTCAAAAATATATTTCTTTTTACTACATGTGTTTGTTATGAGTATCTCTGAGCGGTGCAATGTGAGTGTGTAAATGTGTTACGGCTGGAACAAAAATGTGCTAGCGGTGGCACAAGTGTATTTACTGGACCGTAATCGACAGAACGGATAACTAACTTTCAATAATTCTGAGGAAAACTCAATAATATTTTTTAAAAATATTGAACTTAATGACGCTTAATGAAGTAATAAAAAAGAAATATATTTTTGACTGACTCCTTAAAGAACAGCGCACCTTGTAAATAATAAGAAATTTTACCAATTCAATTCAAGAAATTTACCTTGTCTTTTTGAAATTTTCAACACTTACAAATTTTCAACATTTGAACACATTTTTTTCACTGTTATTTTATCATAATAATAAAATACATATAAAAACTCACAATAATAAATTAGAATTTCAAAAACTCAAACACGGTTCATATCAACAAACATTAATGTCACATTTCATGAAATGTCAAAACACTAATAACAGTGTTGCCAAAAGTACTGTAAATGTGATGGCGCCACCAGTACTAAAATACTACACTGCGCTAGGACGATATTTATAGACACACAAAAAAGTTCGTCTAAGTAGATTAAGATTATTTCAGATTTATTATATTTTGTTGTAAGTCATTTGTAAATTTACACTGAATTTTCGTAGTAAATTTACAAAATGTGTCAAAATGAAAGTCACAATATCATTTTGTAAAAATACTACGAAAAGTCAGGGTAAATTTACAAATGATGAATATATCAGTTTAAATACAACTTTTTCACAATTTTTTGGTAGCATAATTCCAAATCATAATAATAATAATAAAATAACAGAAAAAAAAATCAAAAAAAAAACAAATAATGTTATTTTTTGACTTCATGCATAGCGACTTTCACTATCGAAATTTACAATATCTCATATTTCGATAGATGGCGCAATACGTATGTTAATAAACTTTTTTGTGATGTCAAACTTGATGACTTCATTTAATAAATAATTGTATTTTTACATTAATAATTGCAAAATTTACGATGAAAAAATGGTTTAAAAATAAATAAATTGTTTTTAGAAAATTTAGGGGCATTAATTTTATTTTAATTTATCAAATTTATATTGCAATGAAAAACTATCAATTTTCTGTGAACGTTGGTTTTTTTTGAACGGTTTGTAAATTGAACGCTTATCTGACACATGAGATTAACAGTTGACATTTGTTTGTTTACACACAAACAAGTTGAAAAACTATGTGTACTGCGTTCTATCATTAAGGGTTGTAGGAAAAATTGGTCCAATGAAACAACTAACTGTGGGTGAATTAAAAAAAAGATCCCGCGAAATCAGACAAAATGAATTTTCTATGCTATTGTTATACGGAGATTCATAGTAGATTTACAAAAACTTCCAATTTTCATAATTTGTAAAATTACTATGAAATTTTGTAGTAAATTTACAAATGATGTAAATTGGACGATTT